TGTGGTGGCCTTCGGGGGCGTGGCATTTCGCGGGAATATTTCCAGCAATTGTTTTTATAGGTCGATCTAATAACAGACATATAAATTAACCAATTACAGTGCAAAAGAAGTTTACTATAGATGTTATCTGCCAATAATCTCCATTTTTACCTCTACTTGCTGTGTGATTTCACATGGTGTTTTTTTGGAAATATTGAGATATTTTTGGCCCGGGGCTTCGTACAAAAAATTTAATTGTTGTAATAGTTAGAAAACACATGCAGGAAGACGATTGACAGCTTAGATAGCATCAGACTTGTTTACAGTTTGTAAAATACACTCTTGAAGTCGACCAATTTTTTTTGAAAAATTTCTAAAAACGGGGACTTTCTGTTTTTTCGTTACGAATAAATAAAATCGATATATTTGAAGTAGTTTTTTTCACTAATACATCAAAAACACATGCCCACAAACATCCAAAATGAAAAAATCGCGAAAAAAACTATGAGTTTTGAAAAATTGAATTTTGAACACGAGGGTTATATAGAACCCCGCGCGCACAACTGTGCGTGAATCATTAACGCGCTTTACCGAGGGTTAAGGGAATTGATGCTATTAAAATTTGGTTGTTAAAAGTCAAGGAGGTGGGGAGATAAAAGGGGTCATGTGTCATATCTTGAGTAGGGTTGGACTTATAACAATTTTACTTGTTATTAGTACTTACAATTTTTTATAAAACACATCCCTACCCTCAAAATTAAGCTTTTTGCCATTGTATAATGATTAAAAATATAAAACATTTTTAATAATAAAATATCATAACAGATGGTGCCACACACTCAGTTTTAAATGCTGCCTGAAAAGTTAAGCAACTCATTGCTGGATTTTTTTAAAATTGTAATCTACTTGCATACAGGAGTTGAGTCTATGTCAAATAATTACTATTTAATTACATCACTTGTGGGTACAATGTTATAACAAACAAACCTCAATCAAAATCATGTCAGAGACCAAAGGCAATCACTCACATTTTAATTTTTATTTTTGAAAAAATATGTAACATTAACTACCAATTATAAATAGGCCTACTGGTAATGAATAAATCCCTTATTGTATCAAACAGTGATTAATTCATGACCCAATGATATTTTCAAAAATTTTACTTTTGGACAACTTTTTCATAATCTTATTTCACTGTGTGATTAGTGTTGTCAACTTTCAGAGTAACAAATTCCAAACATAATGTGGAAAAAGAACAGCAAGTTGAAATAAGTAATGAGCAAAAAGAAATCCTATAATCAAACCTGGGAACATTTTTTCCTTCCCTTCACAATGGTGACAAGACAGTCAGATGGTTGAGGTAGTTAAGACATCAGCCTACTGCTCTGGGGGTCCAGGATTGAATTTGAATGAGCAACCCCACAAATTTTTTATGGGCAGACCCTGCTGGTTATATCAGACACCTGTTCCTTGCCATCCCATCATGAGCCTTGCTGAGCCTACAATGGGCATGAAAGAAAGGATGCCCTCAGTGTTCACAGGGTGGAGTAAGATAAATAAAAAATAAATTAGGAATGAAAATCAATTATAATTAGGATTCTCAACATCTAATAAGGAAAATGAAAGATATACTAAAAAGTCCTCCTCATTCATCTTTCAGAACATTTCTGAACAGATTTTGTTTTCTGAGGAATTTTAAGAATAACTGAAAATCTAAGTTAACATTCATCTGTGTGACAGTTAGAACATCAATAAATCAATGCATCCCAGGCTAAAAGCCATCAGTGTTGAAATCTGGGTAAATGAAACAAAATGAAGAATAGAAAAAAAATACAAAATTAATTGTTTAAAAGAATTAAGTTGGATGAGCAAACTAATTGCCTAGTCAGGTCTATCTTTCATGGATATTAACTAAACCCAAAGGTAAGATATTTTCTTTCCATAAGTTTAGGAGTGAGAGAACAATGATAACAATATCAGCTCTTTTGCATTTTTGAATGTTTTTGGCATGATGGTCCTCACTTCTACCACTAAGGAGTGGTTTGTGTATCCACAAGTAGTTGTTTTGCAAAAGCTTTAGATGCTTAAGATCTTACTCGTAGTTGTCCTTAGTCTGGTATATACAGCCTAATACCACCTAATATCCTGTCTTAGTTGTGACAACCAAAACTTTGTAAATCTCACTACTCTTCTCTTTTGATAGTCATCTTTCTCATTTTTAACTGAATCATAGATGGTGAATAAATTGTGGTAATCTGAATTTTCGTGGCTTTGAAATACTTGTTAGAAGTCCACTCCTGTTGTTGTAACAATACTTTTTGAATTCAACTACTCAAATTGAGCATATGTAAATAAATACAACATATATAACGAAAATCCAATGGTTGTGTTTGTATAATGTTTAAGTACTTTTTGTCTTGCATTTACTTAATATTGCCTAGTTTACTTATGCACATTGTTATTCAGGTATTCAGGCTCTGAAACAAATGGAAATATCTAAAGGAGAAAGCTATTTCTCTGATACTTTTTAAGTATAATGGGCAAACTGCAGTCACAGACACTATGCACAGCTAACAAAGTTTAACCAATGCCACATCACTGGGCTTATAGTAGTAGGTTGGCCATTTCATCAAACTGCCTGCCTTCTGAGCTTTTTTGACCTGACCGAGCAGATGTTAAGGCAATGCTGCCCCTAGCTTTTGCAAGGCCCAGGGAAATCCTGAAAGCCTCACTATTGAATCCTGTCACTTCCTGTACCACTGGTAGGTAACTAGTAGAGGCAAATTTGCATGCATGATGACCACTATGAATCCTGTCACTAGCACCCCAACAATGCTAGCTTCATTTGAAGTGATAGGGAAGCAGTTTATACTTCCCTATCACTTCAAACTTTCAGTGTATCATCTTTAGCAACAAATTTGGCTCTGTTTAGGAAAAGATAACCATCATGTTAGTGTGGAGGACCACTGGTAAGCATTTCAATTCTGCCTCTGCTATTGGATGATACACTACCCTCATTGTTGGCATACTGGTCTAGAATGACAATTGTAAACTTTTAAAATAAATTTATAAACAACAAACTCAAATATATTGTTAGAAAATACTATACAACTTATTCAAATTGTCATTTGAAAGAATATAAATAATATGTTTTAGCATTTCAATTCTGCCTCTGCTATTGGATGATACACTACCCTCATTGTTGGCATACTGGTCTAGAATGATAATAATAATATTTTAAAATAAATTTATAAACAACAAACTCAAATATATTGTTAGAAAATACTATACAACTTATTCAAATTGTCATTTGAAAGAATATAAATAATATGTTTTATTATTTAAATTCAATTTTAAATTACATTAACAAATTTTATATTTCATATGCTTATAAAAATAGAATTTGCAAATACTAAAACAAAAAATTAAAAATGAAATATTCAGTAACTATATTATAATTTTATTATAAGAAAAATATTTTTAAGGTATTACTCACACGTTTAACTATTTTGGAGTCGTTTGGAGATATATATTCTATCTGTCCATTACTTAATTTTACTTTATCAAAAAAAATTTCATCTTTCATCCAATGAGATCCGAGAGCAGGTGAATCTGGGTGTTTATAGAACTGTGTTAAAATTTCAGCTGGATCTCTTCCTGCTACCGTCCAAGTTCCTGCATTATATCTATACCTAAAGTTATCAACAGGTATGACGTCTAGCAGTATAAAATAATATGTATTGGGACAAAGTCCACATAGTCTAATTGATACCGAAGGAAACATTCTTCTGAAAAATTTGAAAAATTTATAAATTATAAATAAAAATTATGGATATTGTAAATGCCATATTTAATTGGATAATCTGCACACTTTTTTCAATAAATTACAACAAAAAATTAAGGTGTATGGTTTATTTGAAACAAAGTTGGTGACAACCTGCAAGACTGAAAATTAATTTGGAGCAATGATGAAAACAAGCACCATGCTTATTCTTGATAGTTTTAAGGACAAACAACAGATGAAGTGAAAAAGTTCTGCAATACCAGAAAACTGATTTAGTAATCATCCCCAAAACAGGCTTGTATGCAAAAATTTCAATAAGGTGGCAATTTAAAAAAAAATTATACTATTTTTCATAATACAGTATTTACTAATTTTTACAATACATGCATACAGAGTAACTTAATATAATAGACAGTACAAGAACTGAACAAGCATAGAATAAATATAAGTCTTTTTTTTAAATTTAATTTTTAAATTCTTACCAATGGAAGAGGTTTAAACCCCCGAAATCCATATAGGCACAGCCTTGACCTGAAGGTATAACATTTGTGTTACAACTAGTTTGCATTAATAAGATATTCAAGGCTGCTAAGAATCAGTATACTTGGTGATGGCAAAGTGTAAACATTCAAACCTGTCTTCAGAAATGATAGTGTGGTTGAAAATTGAGATGATTAAGATTAAGACTGGCGACAAATTGCAACGTAGTTGATAGTCTAAAGCTTTTAGAAATGTGGCATTTCAATGCACTGAACCCAGATGATGAAATAGTTCGGGAAAGTTATTCAAAGGAGAGTACCTATGATGATTTATCATTCATGCAAATATTTGCAATGTTGCAGCCTTCCTATCATACCATTGCAAACAGTTTCTTGTGTTACAAATTAGTGAAATTTGTTTAACATGTAATAAATTAAATTGGTTAAGATTTTTATTATTTTTCATATTTTTTTCCCATCCTTACCAATATCTTAAAAAATGGGATATGCAGATAACTTGTGTGTGCAGATTATTCAAATAAATATGGTATAACTATTATACTATAAAAATACTACTTATAAAAGTATATTCATTAAGAACAAGCAATTAATCTATCAAATGTTCAGTTAAAATATTATTTAAATGTAATTTTTTAAAGTTTTTTTTAGCGGACACACAAATTTAACTTAATCATTCTAATGAGTAACACATGCATATGTATTTTTTGTGTACAAACACAGCAAACTAGTTATATGTTAACCAAGCTACATATTCAATGAAAAATACTGATAAAGATTGATATCTGCTTTATTTAAGCATACAGAATTTAATTGTAATTTATTAGATATCACTTTGGTTAATTTTGAAATAATGCAAAACAACTTCCAACAACTTAACACTTCGTTGAGTAATAATAATCCACGAAAACCTTTCTGTACAAGTGTTATGTTCTTAACTACTCCACAAATGCTTTCGACCTCCGCCGAGGTCTGCTTCAGGTGGTGACTGACCGTGTTTCTTCCTGACCGTCGTAACAATGTTGCCAGAGATGTAAATAATCGTGCGCGTTGGGTTTCACCCCTCCGACTGTCCGTGTTCGAATTCCTCGAACAAATACCTCCATGCCTGTGCGATCGTTTTACCATCTTTGTTGTTGATGCAGGTGCCCCGACAGTTAGCTTTATGAATCTCCCAGGCCTCCAGGTGTCGGATGTGATTGGTTCGGAATGCTTGTCTAATTAGTCTGGTATTATATGGATTATTATTTGAAATAATGTTTAAGATTTCTTGAATAATGTGTTTTAATATTAGCACAATAGTGAGTACATCACACAACAAAACTAACAAAATTATACTTAATTGTAGGATTGTAAAAAATTCATTTTGGTTATTTTCAAATAAAATTTGATTTTGAATTTTTGAGGAGTGCTTTCTCAACACTTAGGTAAAACTGCTAGCATAATGCAATGTGGCACAAAGTTGGAACATGATGTAATCTGCAAGAATAAAACAGAAAAGTATGGTAACACCTGCAGAGAATAAAAAAGGGGGTAGGCTACAAGCTATAAAATGAGCATTGTACTTACATTATATAAAATATACAGTACATTATGTCTGAGCAATTATTTTCTTATGACATTGTCACAATGCCAGGCTGCAATTTTTAATCATATTTTTTAATTTATTTAATTTAAATATGCTCACCACCTTCAATTTAGTAGTGTACATCATACTTTTCCTTTAACAATAGAGTAGTGCCAGTTGTCTAACACCTTTCAGGGGAAATTTTTGAATTACAACCACGTAACTTCCAGTTTGCTTCGGAAGTTTGCATATAGTTAATCGGGCCTCCTGCATTAAGATTTCCATATCTGTCTCGTCTTTCATCTATCTCACTCCTTTCTCAAGATTAAGAAAAGACAGATGGATGGACAATAGTGGGAATTTATAGGTCTACAGTTTTTTCAAACTGCAGCCAAATAATATACAGATATCCCTTGATTAACTCAGTTAATCAAGTTCAGTTAATTATTTCCTTTATGCTACTGTGTATACCAAAATCACATTAATCAAATACAGTGGTACTATGGTACTAGATCAAACAATCACTACCCACTAGAACAAATTTTTGGTTAACAAAAAAATTTTTTATTTTACTTTTTTTTTTCTCTTACATATACATTGGATGTATTCTTACACCTTTTAACTAAATAATCCTATATTTAGTATTTAGAAATCTTTATATATAGTATTTTGTTCAGCAAGTAAAATATCCAAAGGTTAAAATGTACAATTTATTCAATTCTATCATTAATCACCATACAGATTTAATTTTTGTGAACTTTTTAAAGTTTTTAAATGTTTATAAGTGGCCAGCTGCCTTAATATTATATAACCAAACCAAAGTTATAAGGGAAAAAATATTAAATTTAAAATATAATGTCCAACAATCCTCAAGGGATTAATTAAGAAATAAATAAAATCATAAACATTGAATGTGCATATGTACTTGAAATTGAATCTCCACCTATGGTTGTTTCTTTATGAATACAGTGGGTGATCAGTTAACGAACAGTTTTGACTATGAACAAATCGGATAATGAACACTTTCATGAAAGATTTCATGTTCAGACAACGAGCAAATGTTCACATAAGAGCACAGAACAAACATGAAGAAACATAAAATAATGAATATTGATTGGTCTTACCTTGTCTTCAGGCAAAAATTTGAAACTTTTCGGAGTGCGGGAGACGTTGACATTGACGCTCAACCCGGTATATACTGATTAGATAGTATTCCTCTGAACTTTGAAACTCTCCCTTGTAATTCCAGCCTTTTGTTTTTCTGACAGAAACAATTTTTTTAATAGTATTTGTGAGACTGTCGTGTGAGCACTCATTAAGTTTTACATCAGTTTTTATTTTCGAAAGATGAGTGTGCAACTTTTAGGGGAGGATTGTTAATCCCCATCATGATGATCTAGCCATGTTCGCGTGTGTGTGTGGAGAAGAGACAGAGGTGATGAGTATCTTTCAAAAACCCGTTTATTTTAGCATAAAAGTAAACTTACACTAAGAAACAAATATTTTCTAGACACAATTGGCTGGTTGGAAGTCGATAGCGTCGATGCTCTTTTAGTTGTTTGGTGGCCCTGGGCAGTATTGTTAAATAGTTTGTGAAACTCTGTTGGTTGTCATCGGCGATGGCATAGCTTCGGAAAGCTTTGTCCCAAGTGTGTTGACACAGCACTTCTGATTTTCACTCCTTTGTGTTGACTTGTTCAGTCTTCTTGTTGAGTGCCTCTTGCCAAGTGCCTCGTGTCCTTTGTGATCGGGGATTACATCAATCTCCAATCTCCCCTTTTTGTCCAACCTGATTGGTTCCACTCCTGTCCCTAAGTGAAAAACAAGACTTGTTTGGGTCCCGAGAAGGGATGGTGTCAGGTAAATTCACTTTGGAGAATTTACCTGACACCATCCGTTAACCCTGGATGGAAGGTGTAGATGGGACTTTGAACTTGCGCTCATTTTACCCCATTGTTGTCTAGTCTATGGCATTTTAGAATTTTAACAACCTGACACAATATCCCCTTTTATAATTAATCTTTTCCCTCCAAGATTTTCTATGTTCTAATTATTTGTATATGAGCACCTTGTCAAAGGTCCATCTCTACTGGAGGACACTCATTTACATTTATTGTGTCACATCTAACATTAATAGTATTTTTTTTCTTGTGGGTTTCATACAACTAGCACAACTGAATCTGATCTTTGATCAGCTTTTAACAATGGATGCTTTTTCCCTCTAGTTTTGTTTTAATAAATTTCTAATATAAATGTTTAATTTCAACCCGTTTTTTGTGGGACCTCACAAGAGTATATCACAGGTAGAGAGTGGGCAGAAGATGTCTAATGTTGCTGGGCAGTATGGCTTGAACAGATCTACAGTAGGCTGCAGTTCAATCATATCTAAGAAAGACATAGTATAATCAAGAAGACTCAAGCAGCTAAAGGAGTAACAAAAATCACATCTAAGAAATAAAGAACATTGAAGAGCTCATAATGAAACCTGAAACTGATCTTACAACAGAAGAATGCCAAGAACTCTTGAATGAAGAATACCAAGAAACTCGGAGAGATATGCTTTTTTCTGAAAAAGACGATTAATGCCGATATTTGCTATTAATTAAAAATCTTTTGAAGAAGTGGGAGGATTCAGAACGACGGTCTTAGAGTGGCATCCAAACCAGGTTGAGGTTAATAGGCTTAGGGATATCTACAATTACAATGCTATTAATTACTTCCGAAAAATCCTGAAGAAGAGAGAAAAGCAATCGACATTAGACAGATTCTTTAATCCCTACAAATGGAAAAAACATGACTAAGAAAGATGCAAGACTGTGTATATATGTATTTTTATTTTTACATATAAATAAATGTAGTAAGAAAGTATACATTTTTTATTTTTTGGAGTTTTCAGAACGAATTAATTAAATTCCCATAAAAACCTATGGTAAATCGATAATCAGTTAATGAACAATTCAGATAGTGAACAAAGTCTTGGAATGGATTATGTTCATTATCCGATCATCCACTGTACATACAAGTTATATAGCACTGAAAAGGGTTTGAGAGTTCACATCAACCTGAAATGCATATGTAGAAGATAGAATTGAATAAATTGTACATTTTAACCTTTGGATATTTTACTTGCTGAATGAAACACTATACCTATAAATATAAGATTATTTAGTTAAAAGGTTTTTATTTTTATTTTGTTGTTTGTTGTTTTTTCAATTAAATATTTTATTGGTCACTTAAAGGTTTTTGTGAGTCTTATTATATTTTAATTTTGTCATCAGTAAATAAATTTTCTGTGATAAAAATGGGTAAAATAAATAATTAAATTAAAAATAAACTGAAACCTTAAAACTCCCTTGAGAATTAAGAAAAGGATAACCCATGACAAAGGGGAGCAAACGCTCTGCTCCAATTGCCCCAGTGTACAGACATCCCTGGAAAGTAATATTAATTTGAATTCTGCTTGCTTCAATGAAATAGTTTTCAGGTTTCATTATAAAAACTGGAATTTATTCAATACTGTGAAAATATCTGAATCATAAGATCAACAATTTCTTTTGTTTAAAAAATTTGAATATAAAAAGAGAAATTATAAAATGACAAAAGATTTATTTCACATGTTTTTGCTCCAATAAATAATTTTTACCTTTCATAAAGAGAACTCATGTCTTGTTTATTTGGATGTGTCTTTCTTATATATATAAAGCAATTTGTCTTTTAGTATTTCAAACAATAAAAATAATGGATCAAATTAAGAATGTAGTTTTAGTCTAGTTTAATTGATTGTTGCTTCCAAAATCTATAAGTTACATATTAAGTTTTATATAATGTAAACACATTAAATTAAACACATTACTTTAAAGTAATTAAAAATACCTTCCAATTTTTGTCACTACCATTTCCGTTTGTAGTTCGTTAAATCTCTCCCACAGTGCTTTATTCTGAAAGATAATCCTGGCATCTTTCAGTTTATCACTAATTAATGCTGGATTTCGTACTACATTTGGTGGCAGATTTAGATCTTCCCACCATTTTCGAGTGGCGTCTACTGCATTTGCTGCCATCGTTCATCTGAAAGTAGAATTAATTCTTATTTTCAAAATTTTCTTTTAAATATAGCAATTGACTCAAGATATTTTTATTAAATTAGAACTGACTTATTTAAATTATTTTTTGTTCATTTATTTATAATACACAATAAATCTCAACACTATCTGTAATTTAACAAATTAGTATATTGAAAAATTATTTCAGTCTCTATGCCTTTACTAATGCAATAATCTTTTTCCAACAAGTCATTAAGTCTACTCATGTTTAAATACAACTCGAGTTTGCACTATTACTACCAAAAACACAACAAAAAACACTAATTTTCTGTGAAGTGTTTAAACTAGAATTATCATTCTAATCTCAATTTTATAATAAAATGAACTAATTATAAATAAAAATTGTGTAAACTCTAAAGAACTGCCACAAAGGCTTTGGTAAAGGCCTTTGTGTGAACCTAAAGAACCGCCACCAAGGCCACACAGGCCTTGGTAAAGACTTCTGAGAAGAAGACTGTTATTCTATGAACTCTAAAGATTGCAATACTCCATGATTATTAGTGCTTTTGAGCCTGGCTGTCTCTATGCATTTACATACATACATCTTTGTCAACATTACACTATCCGGAACCTGAGACCAGTGCTCGATGCATATATGCTATATATGGCTGTTGACAAACATTTTTGAGCGATCCCTTCGTTCTTCTTCAGGTCGACTGAAATTCCCCGGACGGAGTGTATATTATCTGTTGGGATCGGGTGTCGGTTCCGAGGGGGTGGGTCGTTTTTGGCATGCGCGGTTGTATGGTGGGGGGAAGCAGCAGGTTTTCGTCTAACAGTGATTGCCAGGCCAGAGACAGGGTTAGCTCTTCCTTCCAGTTAACGCAGGTGGTTAGCTGGTCAGTGTTGTAGATAGCTGTGGCCTCCAGCCACCTGAGATGCTGTTGGTGGGGCGTGCTGATGATAATAGTAGCTTTCTCTAATTGCACTTCGATTTCAGGATCTGACGCATATGTGGCCAGGGCTCTGGTTAGTCTCCCGTGTCGGATATCTGCTTGGTGTTCACGCAGGCGGGTATTCAAGGAATGTTTGGTTGAGCCGATGTATAGATGATCTGCATTCCGTCTGTTGTCTTGTTGTTTCAGTTGATCTGAAGAAGAGTGAAGGGATCACTCGAAAACATTTGTCAACAGCGATATACAGAATATATGCGTCGAGCACCGGTCACAGGTTCCAGATAGTGTAATGTTGATTTCACCCCGATGCTGAGAGTAGAACAGTTCCTGTTTTATACATTTTTGTATTAATAAAATACAATAAATTAAAATATCACCTTTCAGTAAATAACTCAATTTGGCTAGCAAGTAAAAACTATTCAGCTTATGATAACAATATACGTGGCCTTGAGAACCATACATCTTTATTATCATTATTTGGTCTGGAATGGAATTTGCTCATAGCTTGAAAACTACCAGTGCATGAAAAATACATAACACACTTAAGAATCTGAATCACTACTATCCTCTTGTTTTTTTTTTCACTTTTGCAAATTTGTTTTAGAAATTACACTTGAAATTATGCAATATTTTCAAAGATTTACTTATAATCAAGACCATTTTAGCTGGAATTCTCTGGTATGAAGAAGTAGCAGATAGCATGAAAAAGTATTGGAAGTATACACTGTATATATATATGTTTACATAACTTGAAAAACATAAAATGTTTCTTTATTAATAAAAAAAAAAAATAATCATTGTTTTGTTGGTAAAAATAGCATTAAATTTATAAGAGTAGGAAGTATTACACACCTAAGTTTTCTCTGGATCCAGAGAAAAATTCCCATCTCCCTTTTCCTACAGCTTTACATAATCCCAAAGGGCAGAGAGTTGTAAAAAAACCCCTTCCTACCAGTATTTATAATTGCATACATGCAGTGCTAGATTTACAACTAGATTTACAATATAAATTCTCTTTATATACAGTTACTGTTCAATTTTGGTTTTCTAATATACAGAATGTAATTTATAAATGAGGCTACCATCACTGCTACCAAATAGTCAGTGCCAGTTTTTTCATTGGGTATGCATGTGAAATTGGCATGCAAGACGTGAGGTAATCTTGTAATGATACAGTGGTGCCTCGTACAATGTACTTAATCCGTTCCAGGTGTACGTCCGTTAAGTGAAACGTCCGTTATACGAAACGCATTTTCCTATAGAAATACATGTTAAAACATATAATTTGTTCCGCAGCATAAAATAACTGTACTGTACCATAAAAAATGAAAATGGAGCAGACACCAATTATGCCGGGTAGTCAGATGTTGTGAGGAGGAGGTGGAAGAACACTTTCTTTACACATTCATACAGATACAGACTTTTTACACATTGCAGCGGGTCTTTTTTTATTGTTTTTTAATCGGAGTCAGATTCAGGAGAGGCTACCGGAACTTGCAGGGTCAACTTCTCTTGTTCCATCCTTTGTTTTTTGCCCGCTGGCTTCTTGAAAAACATGACCAAGGTGGTCTGTTTCTCTTTCTTCTTTAACATCTGTCAGAAATGACGGACAAAGGTTTCATCGTAGAGATCATTGATCCTGTTGGCTACAGCTCTGTTTGGATAATGAGTGTTGGTAAACTCTTGAACCTTTCCCCATTCGACAAGAAAGTTTTTGTTAACTTTCACTCCTGATGATTTCTTGTTTTGTTTCAATTGAAATCACCTTTCTGTTTTTTTTAGAAGCCATGATGCATAAATGACTTAACTTGCCAGATTATATAATACGAATAATTCTTTATTAATTAATTAAGATCACTAAACACTTCTACGAGCTACTCTCGCTCCGTTTGTTTTTTACAACCTCTTTTCGTCCCGCCACCTCGGCATCTACACAATTACATTTCGTTTATTTGAATCGTCAACATATACTGTATTACATTACATTTAATGTTTATTTAAATCATCAACATATATTACATTACATTTCTACTTCAGATATACTAATAATACATTCTAATAATACTAATATATCCTAAAAATAGCAGATTGTCATTGGCGACGGCAAAAGAGTGAAAACATCATTCGCACTTGTTCGAAGAAAGTCCATTGTTCGTCTCACGTATCTGCCGAACGGAAAGTCCGTTGTTCGCAGCAAGTACATTGCTCGAGTCAGGTAACGGTCAAACAGAAAGTCCGTTATTCGCAGCGTCCGTTATTCGAGGCGTACGTTATACGAGGCACCACCGTAGTTCACTACTGGTGATATAATCACCATTACTAAAATCATTAGTAATGCCAGTGACATTTTAATATTTCATGATCGGTGATTTTTGTAACTACGATGAAGAACTGACCATAAAAATATCACCCTTAGTTACAAAAATTCACATAGTTAAGTACACATGGAGAGATTCTATGGAGACTGAGGACAGAGTGGGCCCCTTCAGGCATTTATTTTTTTGAACAAATAAAATATCTAGAATGTTTTTTTTAATAAAAAAACTGTTACAGATTTTACTTTACATTAGTAAAAGTAACGTTCAGTTTATAAGGTTCTCTATGGCCCTTAAGTTTTCTCTGGGTTCAAAGAAACTCCCCAGCTTACCCCTCTCAATGGATTTATACAGAACATAGATCATGAGTTGTAGGTGAAACTTTGATTCTGATAAACTATATTGCAGTGAAATGGTGGTCACAGTCACCGGAAAAAGTCATTGCAATTTAAAGATAACGGTTACCAATCATCCTGGTATCAGAAAATCCCAGATCGCTGATCACTATTATGGACGAATACTCATGTTTCACACGTACTATTTATTGGTCGTAAACGTATTAAAACCACGACCTTGCTCAGTTGAATTTCCAATTTCATTTAACATTTAGGAAGGTTTATCGCTTCACTACTGCTATTTATGATTAGAAAAAGCCCATAAATGTGGCTCTCCTATAGCTTATATTCAAAGTAGCATTGCTCAAACTCTTCGATACCAAGGCTGCCAAGGAATTCTAATTTAGAAATTAACATTTAATTTCGACAAACAGCTTAAAAGTAGTATGTTTATATTCACGTACACATTTTGTTTACACAAGTATATGAATCACATTGATTCATAACAGTAGTTACGAACAACCGAAATGTCTTGTATACAAATACTACTATCACTTGTTTTATAATGACGAATGGTAGTAATAAGCTATTGTTTATTAATTAGCGCTGCTTAAAACTTTTTAATCCAAAGAAAAATTGACGCTTTTACTCTTTACGATTAAATTCTAAAACGATAATTACAGGTAAATATTGTTTCAGAATTTTTAATTGTACAAAAAAAGGACTGAAGCAAGGCAAATAGCCAGAAATGCATATCCATCCTTTTATATGTGATACTAAATAAAGTGTATTATCTTCATTACATGTGTTCCTGTACAGGGCCTAATTTGGCACAAGGCAGGCAAGGCACTTGCCGGGGCCTGTAATTAATTGGGGCCCAAAACAGGTTCTAAACATGCTATTGTTTTATTAGTATTTCGAATTACTACATTATTAGCGCCATATTCAAGGGTTAATAATTAATTAAGAATGACATTACCTACTGCTCCGACATCTAACAACATCACCGAGAATTAGATAATGTTTGTATATGCGAATTAGATCTGTTTGGTGAAGTTCAGAATAAAGCAGTGTTTGTTGAGAAAAATATAATGTTTATTGCTGCATAATTTTATTGTAGCCTCAAAAAATACAATGTAAGTAAGATATTGAAATGTAAAAATAAAAATACTTTAATTTTAAATATTACAATTTTATTTATATCTGTAATAATACAAAATTTGTAAAGGGGCCAGTAAATATTATTTTGCCTAGGGCCCGCGAAGGTCTAAATTAGGCCCTGTTCCTGTATGATAAATCTGACACAGCACTTCTGTGTTTTTCCCCAATGAACATAGAAAAACAAGAAGCAATCAAATATTAAAGGCTTTTATTCTACTAATAAATTAGTTTAGATCTATGGAAAAATATTCAACTGTTAATCACACAGTTACAAGCAAGACCACAATTTCACACCCCGTGTGAAACGGAAATCGCGCTAATAATTCCGTTTGCCTGTACTAAAATATAATGTACAATAATATTTGAATCCTCATATTACTTAATTAATTAAATAAGGTTCGAAAATACAAATTATTTTGATCGTTCGTCAATAAACTTCAGAAAATCAATAAACTTCACGCGATTGGTAATTTCGGTTTCAGTTTCTTTTCCGTTCAAATTACGAATTCGGTTTTCCAAGTATTAAAAATAACACGATAAAAAAGAAATGAATGTTCAGAAATGGCCTTTTGTAAATTGCTATGAATCAGAGGATTTACCAGTAAAGAATACAAATGAGACTTACCGATTTTGAAGCTTACTGTACTGTACAAAAGACAACAGAACTGACTACAACTGGCACAAATGTGTGTGTGGGGGGAGGAGATCATTGTTAAGTGCCTTTTATCCTTCGGGCATATCCAATAACTTTCTTTGATTTAACCGCTGCCATTCTGTTCTAACAAGTTAAAGATTCATTTCAACTTAAACTGTAACAAATTTTCACTCCAGTCTAATCGGTTTAAAAGAAACTAACACTTAAAATATTTTTATACACATGTTATATATTTATTTACCACGCAAACGAAACAGTTTCGGGTTAAATACAGTACTACATGTAATTTTTATGTCTACGTTTAATAAATTTAAATTTTATAAAAAAAAACAATACTTTAAGCATGCACAAAATACTCCAAGAGTTTGTTTGGGATATATATATATATATATATTGTACATGCATTTGTACAAAATTTGGTGAATATCGGGCCTATTGTCTGGTATAGCTGGATAAGAAAACCAACAGCAGCCCGTTTCAAATAAAACCCATTAAATTTCGGCCATTTTCTTTTGTTGGGGATTAAAAATTAATAAAAATTAAAGTAAATTGTTAGGTAAATCAAATTACTGTGCAATCAGTAATCAGTTTTACATACTTTTGTTAAATAAAGACAGCTTGAAGTGTGTGTGAGGGGAGTGAGTTGTTTTATAGTTCGTTTATAGAATATATAAATGTAGTTTTATATATTCGTTTAAAAAATATAATAAATTACTAAATTTACCAAAAACACATAAAAACTTTAATAATGAAGTTTATAAATGGGTATATAAGCAAAATAATTACTAAAAAAAAGAAAAACATTTTAATAAGCCTCTTACTACTTACTAAAAACTGTTTTTGAATTGAAACTATCAATAATTAACAATAATTTAAATAATTAATAAGTTATAATATTGATAAAATGAATAAAATATATGAAAAACCTAATTTATTATTATTATTTTCTATGCATTAAAAATTCATATGAATAATATAAATCTAGAGACGAGTTGTATAACTTTCCTGGTTTATGAGATTTTATTTAAAGAATAACTTTTATATTATTAATCACAATAAAAAAAGAAAACTGTGTGTGACACAATCTATTACGGTATTTTATTATAAAATGCCCTCTCGAGATACATGATCCTAGTCTATCTTCCCATCACCTCCACCTTTAACCACCAAAATTTAATTAATAGCTTCAAAGTTCCTTACAGATAAGTTACCGTACCAAATTTCGATTCTTAATCATTATTCTGAGATATTAAGCGAAATATATGCGAACACTTACATACAAGGAAGTTTTTTTTCCTTTTTTGACATTTTTATTAAGCCCTTTTTCACCCAGAATATTAAAAGGCCATAACATACATTGGGTTCGAGTTTTTAAACGTGGAGATTTGCAAAAAAAACCTTTGAACTGACACGATTTTAATACATATATCAATCACTTTTACGATTAATAATTTGTGGACATTTTTACTCGATTTTAGGGAGGGCAAGTGCCAAGTTTATCTCCACTATGAACGCCCATAGTTCATAAAACCGTGATTTCTATAAAACGATACTAGAAAACCACCACAGAATAGTAGTAAATAAATGAATTTTAACTAGGAAAAGATTTTTGGAAAATTTTCTACTGTTTATTTCCCTTTTTTCTATGGTGGCATCAAGGCCTTCTGTGGGTGCGCCGCCGATTTCCATCAAGTTCTTCGAAAACACAAATAACTCTTCTATTTTCATGGAGACAAAGGCTTATATCGGGTAATTCACAAACCTTCGGAGAGTACCTGAAAGGCCAGAGATAAGACTACAATAAAGGACTTGACAGTAACGAACTACCAGTGTTTCTCATTATTTTATCAAGATGCTCGATAATACAAACCAGAGTTTTTACGTAAATTAAATGGCCTATACAACTGTTTTATAATTACTCGACCGGAGAAAATATATTTCATCAGTGAATTCTCGAAACACATTTACAACCTGGAGAGAAGGTCATCCAATAACAAAACCTGACACACCCGATAATCCCATGTGATACTACAACGTAAATTGCTTTTCTTTTATTGTTAATCCACACCACCGGAAAGAATAAAATGACCAAAACTCGCATTAATTATTATAATATATAGAATTTCTCACTGTTTCTAGTTAGAAACCATTAGAAATTTGATTACGTATAAGAAATTATCTTATATTATTGGGCTCACTACCAATTAAATTAATAAATTCTGCTTTATTTTAAAAGGAGGTAAACTAATACTGAATTAAAATTATAAACTCGGAAAAGAGTTGTTGAGATAGCGAAAAGGTGCCACTTGAATTTGACCTCCCCCCCGGCTAGTATTGTGTGCTGCAGGGTCTAGTGTGTTTACGAAGTCGATGCGACAATATACATACAAAACTTGACGTTTATTTCGTTTGAATTTCATTACAAGATACACTAGTAACACGTAGATATACACGAGAATGCAATAGTAATTATCACCATTTCCCCAAAGATTTTCGTACTTCACCATTGTTTAATACAGCGTAACAATAGGAATGTGTTAAGAACTTCCGGAAATTGAAATTAAACTGAAAATGCATTTAAATTAAGCAGTTGAAAATCTTTCTTGGAATATCCTCACTCAGTTTCTAAACAATCGTATTAAAAATAAGTGCAAATTCGCGTAGTGTTATCAATTAAACACAGTAGATTAGCTCAGGATAAACTGATAAGAGAGTAAATTACCAACTCCATTGGACAGAAATTATTCTGTCAAGCATAAAATAGAGAAAATCGCGATACTTTCGTTAAAGTACCTACAGTATTTATGAACGTTTCCTCTCGAGTTTTTCCGTACATTAATAAGAAATGAATGGATAAAAGGTAAGTGCCTAGAATTACTAGATGACAAACAGAAATAGCTGCCATATTAAATACATATTTATAAGTTATATAATTTGACAGACAACTTTCTCTACTTAGACAATAAAACCAAATATGTAAACAGCATGGGCGTGTCTGGTGGGAGATCGAGTGAGTCAGAACACTTCCAAATTTTAGCGTGAAAGCTGTTGGACGTATTATATTCATTTTAAACACTTTTCCCAATGAATCTACTACAAAAATACACACATATTCTTTAAAATGTTATGAGTTTATCGGTAATTAAATGCAAAGAGGGACGTTAATTTGCCTCACAGAGTTTCCTCTTTTTTTGTTAGGCACGCCAATGGTAAAGAATAATGTAACGAACGAAAGGATAGCAGCTCGCAAATTGTATTTAAAATTATAAAATAAAGGATTTATCTATACATTTTAATTAAAGAAAGTAAATAGACAAACCGCTGAAGAGAGTGACAATTAGCAGGCGCCATCCGGTCCGTTTTTGTGCGGCCATAATGGTTTTACAAGCGACTGTAAATTCGTCAGTTTGTCTGCCACGTGCCGAAAAATAACGGATCACTCAGACAGCAATACAATAGATTTTTACAATGCTTTCTAATGCAATTAAGTAAAACTTTGGGATTGACAAAGCCAAAATAGCTAGATCATGGAGGAATGTTTACATTTTATAGTCTCTGAATAGAAATGTTCTGATTGCTTTGTGTTTTTTTTTTTATAATTGTAAAGAGAATTTCATTAAAATTTTATACCAGTCGACCCCCCTATAACACTGTTGATTTCCATTTTATATGAATTCCATGTTGTATGAGTCACTTAGATTTTACAAATACATGAACTGTTCACAGCCAGGCACACGTATTTGTAAAATCTAAGTGACTCGTACAACATGGAATTCATATAAAACGGAATTATCAACAGTGTTATAGGGGGGTCGACTTGTACAAACTTTCATGGATTTAAAGTAGGATTAGTGATTTTTAACCCGACGAACGACCGTTAACAACGTGAAATTAGTTAGAAATAAAAGACAGATTTTACACATTTTCGCATTCCTCCGTGTTAATTGTTAACATATTTTTACTATAAACTTTATTACAAGTGTTTTTCATTTTAAATAAATGTACTTAAACACAAACTTGTCAATTGTACTCCGCGGGAGGTTAATCGGCACTCATCCAATTAACCGCTAATTTTTCATTAAATAATTAAAAGTAATTTTAGCGTAAAATTCCGAATGTAAATTAAAGAAATTTTGGAAGTTTTTATATTCTTATAAAACAAAATTAACCTTATGGCATCATATTAAAGCGCTATTATTCTGCATACGAAAATTTAAAGTATTTTATCATTAGTATATGCCATTAAAAAACAATAATATAAACAGTGAGGAGTTGCCTTATCTTTGTAAATAAATAAAGAAAAAATTCAAATAATATACAGGAAAAGATTTGAACGTGACAAATATATACGATATATAAGAGTTTATTCTTTATCTACTACATCCAGGGGTGAATGTGGATCTGCACGTAATTATTCCGGGCGCTTTGCCACGTTATAGCCACACTTTAGTCTAGTTTTGTTTCTCAACCGGTAGTCCGCGATCCACGGGGTTTTAGGGGTCAACGACACGAGAACTGGTCCAGTTCTTACCTAGGAGTGCAACTGTGCAAACACTCTCCCAAAGGTACGACACACCTTTTTCTAGAAGTGTGGCACTCCTGCAAGTTCTTCAAGACACATTCTGGGGTAAAATCTAAGTCCGATCCCACTGGAAATACCACACGTGACCCTCCTATATTTCCCACTCTTTCGATAATTAACCACCGAAATTTAAATATAGGCTAAATATATCTTCTTAAATTTTCGATTTTATGCAAAATTCCCTACAGATCTGTAAGAAAAAATTAAATTGTTTGCTTTTTTAATTGCAACTCTTACACGACCACAAGCCCACAACACGCTGGTAGTGAAAAGGGCAATAAAACCTCAAGTACCCACTAAAACAGTTTAAATGCAATGTCCTAACACTTCAGTGACGCCACACGGCTTCCAGTTTGGGTGGCATTTCTGGGGAGGATGGCTCTTTTAATGACTAGTGCCGACTAGTCATTAAAAGAGCCGCCCCCCCAGTTAAACTACCTTAAGTAATGAACTTCTATTAAAATAAGCCATCTAAAAGTTTGCTTCCGTATAAACGTTACTTTAATATTAAAATATGTAACTGAACTTCAACAAGGTACAGATTTAATAGCATGCTGTAGAAAATTTGCTTGTTTTATCACGTAACACTTTACAGAAGAATCCAATTAAGACGCCATTTTGGGGGGACCATATCTCGCGAAGGGTCACCCCTACGGGGATGGTTCCATTGACTTTTTTGTTGCTATCGATACGCTCTACATCTCTCTTCCAGTCCCAATCGCGTAGATTCGAACCCAATTACTCCGCAAATTGATCATTTTGACAGTTTGCATTGTGAAATTTGCTTTACGTCTTAATAAAAATTGAAGAATTTTTAAAAAATATTGATGTGTAATAATACTAAAAGAAGAAATTTAACTAATTTTATTACATACTTGAGTAAAAAATACGTCGAGGAGGAGAAATAATGAGTCTGTCACGAGAATTCGACACCAAAACCAAATGATGATGTAATCAAATTTGCATAACAGCGCGAGACGTAGCCGTACAGTGAATGGAAAAAAATATTTCCACACCAAACCATCAAAATAGCCGAAACAAAACATTTTAAAGACACAAACAATTCAAACAAAATACGATAAAATTTTTAATACAGTAGTACCTCGACTTTGCGCATAGCCAATGGGTTGTCACGTGGAATTTTTCGGGTTTTCTTCACGTTTGTAACACTTAAATAGGGGGCTAAATTCCCTTAGAAAATTCTACCGCGAGTCATCCTTCTCCAAAACAGATCGTCGCCTTGCCAAATAAACCGAATCAAACATCACTCAGAAATCATGACGTTTACTCGTGTTTCAATTGTGTTAGATGACGTCACAAAGATACTAGACAAAACTGTGTGTGTGTAAATTGGTATCATTGCTATCATTAGTAAAAATAAGAAGTGCAATAATTTCGTCTAAATATATAAAATGATGATAATTTATCATCATTTCATCATTGTCGACTGGTGTTAGGAATATAAGGGAATAACACCTTTATAACAGACTAGCTGTACCCGGCACGCGTTGCTGGGACTCAAAATATATCTGTTATAAATGTATAAAATCACTCCCCGAGGGGCGGAATTTCGAAAAATCCTTTCTTAGTGTACATTCTCTTGACGTACCCTATTAAAACGCAAAAAACCGCATCTAAAATAGTATAATAGAAGCCGAGTTCTTCACGGTAAGCCTTAATTTTGTCCCTCTCCCCCGCGGGGGGATTTCGACATCTATATAATATACAAGTTCGGACACGTGCACTGCGTATCTGGCGACCACGCGACTGAGCCGCACGGTACCTATCTGGTATATGTACTGTTACCTATCTGGTATATGTACTGTTACCTATCTGGTATATGTACTGTTACCTATCTGGTATATGTACTGTACGCGTCTTGACCCTCGGCACTCGCTGACACCAAAAATATAACGTTTACCTAGATGATATCTTTTAATTTCTATGTTTAACGGAATAATATATAGCCTATGTCCATCCTGAAGGTCCATTCTAAATACAGCTCTCCCCTAATAGTCCGACAGGTATGGAACCAAAGGGGTGTTGGATTACCAAAAGTGTCCGGATTACCGAAAATAATTACATATTTTGCATTGTTTTGCTAGCAGTAGTTTACAATATTCCCTACTCCAACTGTTCGAACAGAACTGCTCACAGAAAACACACGAAATGTGTGTCATCGTGTAAGAATTGGATGGGAAGATTGATGTCGCGACATGCTTCTGTGAAAGCAGACACGTAACGGGGACGGGTACCTTGACGGGAGGTGTGTCGGATTAAAAAACGTCGGACTATCAAGGGAGAGCTGTATTGATGAAAATCGGATGAGTAGTTTCCAAGATTACTTCCTACATCCAAACTTACGAACTTTACCTCTTTATAATAGCGAGGTTGAGACCGAAGTTTTCATCTTTAAAACGTGAACGTCGAACGCCGCTATGTTGTAAGCGACGTTCGACGTTCACGTTTTAAAGATGAAAACTTCGGCCGCAACCTCTCTAATATTAGTAAGATTAGTATAGATTAGCCTAATCATAGCTTTGTTGTAGGTTAATAGAGAGGTTGCGGCCGACGTTATCAACGCAAAAACGTGTACGTCGGACGTTCAGCGCCGCCTTCCTATGAGCCTAGAAGTTTGACAATGGCGTTTGGAACGTCGACATGATTCCACTGACGTTCAAATGACCGTATTCATCACGCTAGATGGCAGCATCAGCACCAAAACATCCTGTACCTTTCGTATTTCCGGTTCGTTTTGTTTCCTTGCATGCCCAAGTAAACAACACTGTATACATTGTATACAAAGATGATTGATTATAGGTTATAATTTTTTTTATAAAATGTATCTAAAATTTGTATTTTTACATGTTTTTAAATAAATTTCTAACTATAATTTGGGGTAATTTAATAGAGTTATACACCAATTGAGTAGCGATACATTAAACGATTATTACAATATCAAATTATATATAGAGTAAAATTACTTGTACTGTATATACAGGTAGAAATAGAAATATGTTGTAAACAAGCTTATACAAGGATTTTACCAAGCAATTATAACTTAAATTTATTACTTTAAAGCTAATATATTTGATTAAAATGTACATGTATACTGTACAATAGTGTATTGAAGATATAGCCTAAACATGCAATATGGCTTCTTTAAGTGGCATAAATGTTCTTATATTTGACTGACATTAAGGTTTTTAGAGTAAATATTACTTTAAAACAGTATTATATTTAAATTAAAATTGATGATAAAGAAACTTTCATTTTGTTTTTTTATTAAAATTAATTTTTTTAGGATCCCATCTTTGGCTAACCATTCACTACCTAATTTTCTAGAACTATTTAAAGTTTAATTAAATTATTTTTTTAACATTTTTATAAGTTTTCCCCCCCCTTTATAAAATTCTATACATAGGACCTCTTTACACAATAGGCTATATATATATATATATATATATACCAGTCGACCCCCCTATAACACTGTTGATTTTTCCATTTTATATGAATTCCATGTTGTATGAGTCACTTAGATTTTACAAATACATGAACTGTTCACAGCCAGGCACACGTATTTGTAAAATCTAAGTGACTCGTACAACACGGAATTCATATAAAACGGAAAAATGAACAGTGTTATAAGAGGGTCGACTGTATATATATATAATATATTTTGATAGTATTGAGTAAATAAAGCAAGAATAAGAGAGGAATTATGTATAAACAATAATAATATCCTAACAATAAGACAATATAGTTATTAAAGAAAGCCGAAAAACAATTTTCGTAATTCATTTTCTATGCTTTAAAAATGTCGTGATATTAAATGATTTACACGCGGTTTACTTGTTATGCAATACGTACTCATCAAATAATAAATAAATAAACGTTTATCACTAATTCTATTGTACTTTTTAATATGAAGAGTTTGTCTATTGTTCAATTTACAAAATTCTATTAATGTATGTAAAAAAAACACGTGTACAGTGAAAACTGCTTAGGCGACCACCTGCATTCGACGGGCACCTGTCAAAACGGGCAAAAATGTCTGGCACGGAATAGTTTATCCAATGAGTCTTCATATAAGTTACCTATATTAAACGACCACCTGTGTAACGCGACCGCGGGCATCGATTTTTGGTTCGAAACAACTTACAACACCTGTAATAAGCGACCATTTTCGCGAATGTATTTGGTCCAAACTATTGTAAGAATTCATCCCGGGCACTTCTCCCACCCTTGAAATTAGGTGCAGGTGTTAATAAATTAGTGTAGCAACAAAGGAAATTCATTTCAGTTTGTTAGAAAAGTGTGCATTATAATCGAAAAAATGCGAGTATTGTATTAATCTTTAAAATATTGGGTATTAAATCTGTCTTCAGGGCCGTGCCGTGCTATGATGCAGAGATGCGGCCTCATCAGGCGGCACCGTGAGGGGACGGCATAAAAAAACATTTAAGGGGTAGAATTTCAAAGACTTGAATCATACTTAGAAAATCTACCGCACGGCCCTGGTAAGATACACCAAATAATAACAATTATAGCCTATATAAGACTAATAATTTATATAAGGGGCGGCAAAAAACACATAAGAGACGGCATTTCGAAAGACTTGCATTATACTTAGAAAATCTACCGCACGGCCCTGTCTGTCTTATAATATCATGACGACTCCTGTAAATCCGGTAATCCGATAAGAATAAAATACAATACCGATATAGCCCTATCGTTGAAAAAAAATTTGCTTATTTTTGCTCACCTCGAGTTTTGCTTAGTAGAAATGGCTAAAAAGTGCGTAAAATACGCACGGAAATACGGTATTACAACACCACCTGTATTGGACGACCACCTGTCTAAAAGACCACTTTTTGAAGGAACCGTGGGTGGTCGCCATAGACAGGTTTTACTGTATATCGTCATCGTCTCCCTTGCCGTTTGGACTGCCGAGCGGTAACAATCAACGACAGGTGGAAGCAGTCGAGTCAGAGATAGATGCCTCCTTTACAAACAACACAACCCGTTTATTATACACGAAAGAAGCTTACAAGATTTCCGCGATCTTTAAAGTTCTACGTCGGCAGCTACCTCTTGGTCTTCCTCTCCTTTCCAAGATAGTCCCATTTTGAAGGTGTGTCCCTTGTTCGCGAATGAACAATTCCATCGACGTCTCGACGACTCCCGGACGATGCGGTCGATTTCCGTTGATGGAAATATGTCGATCCGAGGTCGGGAGATGGCGACGAAGATGGGCGCGAGACACACACACACACACACACACACAACAATAGATCCGTCACTTGGAACTTTCGGGAGAAGAAGCCGTCGCGTCCTTGAATGTCTGGTGTTTTATCCGTTTTCCTTCTATTCCACTTTCCGATTTATCTCTCCTTGTCACCTGATGACAATTCGAAACCTTTCGGGGCTCGGGAGAGGTCATAATCGAAGTTTAATTCGATCTCCAACCGGAGAAATCTGCCCCTATTTTACCCACGTAGAACCAGAGTAAAGTACTGTATATAAAGTATACAGTAGGCCTATTATAAACTGTGTGGAAACCATTCTCGCTTAATTAATTGACCACAGTTACCCCGTTCTCCTCCTACGTTTGCAAGCTTGTTAGATATAAAGCACATTTGGGTGATTATATTGAGAATTACAGGTGAAAACACCATTGTTTTTTGTTTTTATTTTGTGAGGTACGCACACTGGAAGTAGACTTTTTCACTCACCGACAATCTCAACAATCATAGTTTTAACAAAGATTCTTTTATATCAAATTATTTATTAATTATTTTCACATATAACATGCTCAAATTTATTTTGTCAAGTAGGAAGTATTCAAAAAACGATATTAATAACAGGTTTTGTTCATTTCTCAGCAATTATTACGCGAATGACCTTCAAAGAAAATAAACATGTCAAGGCTAAATTAACTTGCAATCAAATTCTTTTTTATTTGCACGAAATTCTACATTTATATTTATATAAATTAAAAATTACTAAAGATATTAGGCAGTAATAATTGAAACAAACTTTATTAAAATGTTTATAAAATTCCTTTTACTTACTGATACATCTATTCTTAATCATTCTTGTAATTATTCAGAGCAGAATTGTTTGAAATGTTAACAGTAGTTTTCTCACGAAACATAATTATACCTTGCAAACGTTTCTTTATTCTGAGCATCGATTTTAACGTAAACCATTTCCATAGTATTGTACGATAATTTACCGCAAGATACTTAAGTATGTCGTGTAACCAATATCCACTAGTGTAATCGGAAATTCCTAAAGTTCGAATGGCATCCCTCACGTAACGATCGCTGCTAGGAATTATCACGTCGATTTTTTTGAATTTGATGAATTTGGTGGATACGTAAAATGGAGAAAGTGTCTGGATGTGTACTCCTTTAGCGAGACATTCTCCTAAGATGCTCCTGGAAAAGCGATCGCAAAATGCTTTAGAAGCCGAGTAAACATTTAAACGTGGAGTAGGAAAAAGTGAAGAGAACGAAGTAACGAATATCATGGCTCCATTTTCCTTAGTTAACATCCACGGTAGAACGCAACGAGTTAACTGCACCACAGAAGTTACTTGCAACGTGATCATTTTTAACACGTTTTCCGTCGTTTCGTCTAAGAAAAGACGTGGTAAATTGCCTAAAAAACCAGCATTGTGGATGAATAATCCTACGTCTTTGCCTTGTAATTCCTGTACCACGTCACGTACGGCACCCTCTTCCGACAAGTCGGCTCGGATGTAAAGGCATCGATTTCCATAAGTGCTCTCGATTTCTTCGGCCGTACTTCGCAGAGTTTGTTGGTCTCTGCCGACGATAATTACGTTCATACCTTTTTCTGCCAATTGCAAAGCGTAACTCCGTCCGATGCCGGCATTTCCGCCGGTGATAACGGCCCATTCTCCGTATTCGTTACGGAAATCGTGGAAAAATCGAAGTAGAAAGTGCAAATATATAAACCTGAAGAAGGAATAAATTGCAGAAATTGTTGTTAAAACACCCACTGCGATCAAAAAGTAGTCGTACATCGGAAACGAATAGAACAATTGCTCGTATCGCTAATAACTTTCTATTATTGTCAGAGATCCGAGTCTGTTCAGAGGAGGCATGATACTTTATGTTAGCTGAAAAACCTGTCTTGTAATAAATCCAAATACAATTTTTCAATTTTCCTCATACAATATGTAATTAAATGCTAATGAAGCGTAACCAGAAAGTGTAGAAGGTCATCTATAATTTACAAGAAATTAACAATTCGATTTTGTATTTACCTTGGACATTTTATTTAATTTGGAACCATTACTTCATATTCTCTACCGGAAAAAAAAACAAAGTAAATGATCAGGAAGAAAACGAAATCGGACTTTCTCTCACCAGCCATTCTTTTATTTTTCAATATTGTTCTATGTCAGAATGAATTTATAACAAATTATTCTTGTATATCTTTCACTGTTGTTGATGAATATTATTTATTACTGTTTGAAATTCATTTTTTACTGTTTACTATGGCAATTTAAATGTATCTTTCTATTAAAATCCCACATCAAGAAACGTTCTTAGACATTGGCCCTTAGTGGCTTTTACCTGTATAAATTAATGTTAAAAAAAAGGTAAAAGGGAAGGTTAAGAGCATCTTCTGTTGCTTAGTGGGTCCCCTTTACCATTTCTTTTCTAGCTTAGTCCCATATAAGCTCTTGGCAGCCCTGTACGATCGCCATACTTTCCCTCTGTTGTATATAATTGCTGGAAAACTAAGAATATAGAATATAATAAATATGAAAAAAACCTTGAAATGTAAATGAAATAATTTTTCCTTTCAAGTTTAGATATTTATAAAAAGAAATATATTTAAAATGGGCGTTCAAAACATAAAAGAAAGGACAATAGGGAAGAAGAAAAAACAATCAGATATAAATCTGATCTAAATGGTTACCTTACAATATTACTTAATCAACGAATTGAAAACATAAAAAAGGAGGAAAATTAATAATTAAAAACTAAAGAAGGAAAAGACAGTTGATACTAAATATATAAAATTACCTTAAAGAGCCCGATGCGATCTCTTAATAAGCCCTTGCAACCGCTCTAATTCTTGTGAGGACCCAAGTGATGGGTCGAGATGCTTCTCCTGTCCTCACAGAACAGTGATATCACTTGTATCCTGTATCCGTTTGGATAAAGTTCACTGTCTTAGCTAGAGAAACCCTTTTGTCTTGATGGGACCTTGTCCTTCTGACCTTGAGTTCGGGCTTTATTAAACGATATCCGCCCGTAACTCAAGAGTTAAATTTAGTCCAAGAAGCCTTCATCTTGAACAAGAAATAACTGTGATGTAACTGTACATTACAGTATTGGTTTTCAGAAAACATTTTTTTTTTAATACATTACACATTAAAATAAAATGGCAAATCATTAATTGTTTAATTAAAGACAAATCTATTTAGAATATTAAATACAATACATTAGTCGTCACCATAAAATAATTTAATGGCTTTAGGATTAAATTGAATGATTACAATGCCATAAGTGAAAAGAGCACCCACAGTTGTGATGAAAAAATCCCGGTTAATCGGAGAGAACCTCCAAGCCGTTAAATAATTCTGTGATTGAAGAACATCGAATATGAAAAGCCTACATTGATGGAGGAAATTTGTATTGTGAATATCGCACCATATTGTATATCGATATACGTATTGAAGAATCTTTTTCGAGTTATCCGCAATAGAAGAAGGAGTAAGACAGCTGCAAGTAAAAATTGAAAGCGTGTACGTAGCGTTTAATAAGAATACAGTTAAATTACCCATGTCGCCGTATCTCTCGTGTGTTTCTTGCTCGAAATATTGAGTCATTTCTACACAAATCGTTAAGAAAAACATAACGAACCAGACAAACATCACGCGACAAAAGATTTTATCCGTGTTAGAGATTAAACACGACAAATAATGATATTTTATTCTAAAATTGTATAGAATGGATGAGGTCGGACGAGAACACGATGCAATTAGGCCAACGATTTCTTCTTGTTTCGAACGTAGAGTTATGCATACAGATATATAAAATGCTAAAATGAATGATACCGTTCCGGATACTAACAATGTATCAGTCAATGCGTATAAACCGGCTAACCGGTTAATACTATTATCTGGAATTAGACTTACGTACCAGTTTGTATCCACGTAATCTCTTCTGTAAACTTCCGATACTGTTATGGAAGTAACAATAACTATGCAACGAGCTATCAGATACATCCAACAATAACTTACGAATATAACGAGTCGTAAACTGTTACTGATATTTTTCAATTTGGTCAATAATCGACGAATCTTGACCCGATGGTAAATCATGGAATCTGCCATAATCACCGCTGTACAACATTTGATGAAAGACGTGCTACTTAGCCAGAAACCTTTGGTGCCATACAAAATGAAGCAACGTAGTAAATAGTGAAGTACGAACATGTGACGTAGAAATAAAACCAATAGATTCCAAGACGTTACCGATCGTCTAAGCCATTTCCCTGATTTTGAATTCAGTGGGTGGATTCCTATTAAACTTAGAGAAATTCGAAGGAAGACGTACGCATTCGCGCTAAGTGTCTTGAAGATGTTCATACCTGATGCAAAGAAGAACCGAAATTAGTATTTATCGTAGACATTTTATTGATTTTCTTTAATAAAAACATTTAATTATTTCCGAGAATTAGAGGATCGATTTCACGGATTAATTATTCAGTAGAATTTCTAAATACTGTATTGACGCGGTGCCCTTCATCAATTATGAACTCGCATTAAATCAATAAACTTTATTGTGTTGTAGTAATTTATTATTGCTCTTTTGTTCGGTAGTTTTATTTTAATTAAAAATTAACTGTAGTGAAAAGAACCTAATTAGTTTCTGGTTTCTACTGTACAGTCGACCCATCTATAACACTGTTGATTATTCCGTTTTATATGAATTCCATGTTGTACGAGTCACTTAGATTTTATAAATACGTGTGCCGGGCTGTGAACGGCTCACGTATTTGTAAAATCTAAATGACTCGTACAACATGGAATTCATATAAAATGGAATAATCAACAGTGTTATAGGGGGTCGACTGTATTTATCCATGCAGATTGTATTGTTACACTGTAATTGAGAAATATATATTTAAATCTTATTCTTGTGATTATTATTATTATTATTATTATTATTATTATCTAATTTTGGGCTATATTTTTAAACACAATCCGTTACTTTTCGAGAATTTCGCACTACCATATGTAAAAAGGATCTGGCAACACTGATTAGTAGCTCCCCTGGTGTCTGTAAAATAAACTAAATTAGTGGACCGATCGTCCGAATACTTGTGTATCTCCTGTTTACAGTTTTAATCTAAGTACAAAATTACGTTAAGAAATATTTAGAATAGAAGGCATATTACTATTGTATTTATCTCGGTATCTCTTTATAATTTTATATAATTAGTATTAATATATATATATATATATATNATGGTAATATTTAATATTATTAAATTAAATCGTACTTTATTTATATTCGAACATTAAAAAAACAGTAGTACTCGTTGGCGAGGCGCTAACCCCTCCCACCAACGACCACGTGGTTTTCACGTGTGTAACATGCAAGAAAATTCTGGGGTAATTTCTATATGTATGTATGTATGTGTGTGTGTGGGGAGGGGTACGATTTTGTTCACCCTGTTTGAAGCTTAATAACTCCTGTGTTTTTGTGAAGTTTTTCAGAGAGGTTTGTTTATTAGGTGGTTCGATGCTATTAAATTTTGATGGTTTAAGGTCGAGGGGGTGGGAAGATAAAGGGTGTTGCGTGTATTTTTAGTAGGGTCGGACTTAATGATTAATATTTTATAAAACCCATCCCTACTTTCAAAATTAAGTTTTTTTCGCCATTTTATAATAGTTATATAAATTATTCTTCACGGCAGGACCGATTCTGTACATAAGTTGTAGTTTAGGGCCTCACATTTTTACACGTATATTTTTTTAAAAGGGAGAAAGTCCTGTTTTGTGGTATAATTTAGGGCCTCAACAAGTCCAAGTCGGGGTCTGCTTTGCGGAAACGTTTACAAAACACCTTTTACTTACTTTCTATCATGCATTTATTCTTGAATATTCATATAAAACTTAACTCCTTGAGAATTTTCCGAAAGGCCTTTAAGTTACACGTGGAATTAATTATAATTAAATCAGATATAAAGTTTTTATGCTTAAATATCATTTTAATTAATTAATTAATTAATTGTTGGAATATTTTCAATGGCTATAAAATAAAATTAATTTAAACAAATGCATTTATTTATTTAAAAAATATATTATTAAAATGTTTTTTTATATTGATGAATTTTAAACAATTTTTTTAAGTAGTAGAATAAATTTTTTCTTTAACGAAACGATTTATTATGAATTATTGCAAGCTTCTATTGTATATTCAATATAGAAACTAAGTTAAAAATTAAAATTTAACATTAATTATGATAGAGATATTAACAGATATACAAATTAACACGTTTACAACGAATTTTATATACTGTATACAGTCGACTCCCCCCCTATAACACGGTAAATACGTTCCGTTTTTTTATGAAATTGATGTTTTAGGAGACCTTGCCAATCACAGCCCGGCACGTGTGAAGTTTACGGACTACGGCTGTTTGAAAGGTTTTCTTCCATAAAATTAATCGATTCCTAGACTAATTCGACTCAAAATTTCCAAAACACGTATAATTTTTTGGGAATAATCCGTATAAACTATGCTATAAACAAAAAATTGTAGGATTACTTACCGAGTGTGCACCGTTCGACGTCGCCATTGCTTAAGCTTGTTTTCGTCGCGGAGCAGCGCACCAAACGGCGGCCGCGATTTCTGATAAGTTATTTTTCTGCGAAAACTTCGTTGAACTTTGGAGACATCATTAATATAAATAATTTTTATGGCCGTTGAATAAGAAATGTTTCTTTCACAAGAAATGTAGAAAATTAGTGCTGTATTAGACTTACGGTACCTAATTTACATACTGTACAGACGATAGTAAACTCAATTTACCCGCCTAAACTCTCCGTAGCGTGGCGCTGGACGGTGGAAAGTAGTTCGGCTGTCCGATGACGTTTTACCGAATTATAGGAGTTTTTTTTACCATGTTTGTACGGATACTGTCGCAATTTTTTCGCCGTCATATAAGAATCCGAACTATAGGAACCTGTGTTATAGGTGGGGGTCGACTGTACTGTAATTTTTTTCGTAATAACCTACGGTTTTCAGATCATTCGATAAATTAATTTATAACATATTTAAACTGAAATATCATTAAGTTGACCCTCCAGAGGGCCCGTTAAAAAACGAGCGAGGAAACCTGGAAATTCCATAAAAAATTTTCCCGAAGAAGGCCCGAGATCAGCAGTACACGGGGCCCCAAGAAACAATAAACCGCCACTGATTAGACGGAACCATTTTATATGTGAATTTTTACTTAATGTTTTCGTTATGATTTATTTGTTGGAATGTTCGTTGCTATTTTCAATACAGTAGACCCCTATAACAATGTAGATAATTCCGTGTTATATGAATTCCATGTTGTGCGAGTCACTTAGATTTTATAAATACGTGTGCCGGGCTGTGAACGACTCACGTATTTGTAAAATCTAAGTGACTCGTACAACATGGAATTAATATAACACGGAATTATCTACATTGTTATACGGGAGTCTACTTGTATATAGATCAGGCTCAATCGCCCATTCTGCAGAAAATTCCCCCACCCCCGAAATATTAACTTAATCTTAATATAATCATGTATATAACATTTGGATTATAGTCGTTAGGGAGGAGCAAAAAATAAACTATTAAATACATATACATGGTAATATTTAATATTATTAAATTAAATCGTACTTTATTTATATTCGGACATTAAAAAAACAGTAAAAAATTCAAGGTTTTGGCGTAAAATAATCCCACGCAAACAACTGATAATGATCACAAGGCTATACCTGAAAGTCGTAACTTGATTTTTAACTGAATAATTATACCGTGGTACTATTAAATTTTTAAAAATTATATCCTTTTTATAAGAATTGTATTTAGTTTATTATTATTTTTTAATTTTTTTTGCCAATCACGTGTAAATCAGCAAATCAAATGTAGATAGAAATTAATTAATTTACAGAAAACAAATATATATTTTGGGGTGGGTTGTACGACATTATGTCAATTAGAAGTATATAAAATATAACTGCCGTGTATCGTCGTAATTGGTCGAATGTCCTAGTAGTGTATAGCGAACAAACAAACATCCTTATTAATAAATATAGATAGATTTAGTATATGAAGTGAGATGTTATCCTCCAGAGATGTTGGATAAAGTCGAGATTTTATTGTGTAATTCGGGACTGTCCCATCCTACGATTCTGTCTTTAGAGTGGGCATTTATAAATTTTACTTGTTTGCCATTTCGTCACCAATATATTTTTTTTAATTGCTCGCTTTTCAGGTCACGAGAGAAATTATAATAAAATTCGAAGTGTTGTTTCGAATTTTTCGATATAATATCGAACATTCCAATGTGTTCATTTACACATGATCAATGGAATTGCACTCTTGCAGTCCATTCATCCAAAAATTCCTAGGTTTAAAAGGCACGGGAGTAGAGGATTTGATCCCGGGATCTCGAAAATCGGGATCCCGACAACTTTTCAGTCCCAAAATTTTCGGGATTAAGTTTTCCTAATCCCGAAAATCTCGGGATTGACATCATTTTAAAAAAAAGTTGCAAAATAGACTGCATGAAGCGAAACGTTCAGTGCCAGTGCTTTTAACAAAATTGCTTGCCTATCATTTTAATATAAAATACAAGAAATTTTATTACAAGCAAGCATCGCAAGCCCGCTAGGTTAATTTCTGCTGCTTGCTTGTAATAAAATTNTCCAGAGTACATTACTTCCCTGTATTCAGAGACGGGATTCATTCCCCTTGCACACCAATTGCGACTGACGACATTCTGCCACGTCCTCACTCACCTCTCCAGAGGGACTTTTAGCCCTCTCCAAACTATTTAAAACGAAGCCAGGGCTGGCTTCTATCGGTGGCGGCAACATCAACAGTCTTATATTACGCGAGCACTACCCCTTATCTAGCGGGCAAATTTGTCTCAAACCCGTATTTACCGCTAAGCGTCTACCCCTCTGGACATTTCCCAGCTCCTCTCCATCATCTACTTAGATCTATTTTCCACCGGATCTTGTCTACACCCAGCTTTATTCACGAAGCAACTACCCGCCAGTGGCAAAATTGGGCGCTTATCGGCACGGACGCACCGAAATCACCGCTCCGTAACGCCAAAGGGATGGTTCTCCTTTCCGACAACTTTTCGGAAGGGAAAACCATCCCTATGGCGTTGCAGAGACTTTTATTTTCATCCGCCAAACTGGTCGTTTTCCTTATCGTAGCCGATCAAGGGGCACAGAGTCGGAGAAAATAGCAGCATCGGCTGAAATCTCCATATCAAAAACACAAACAGAAGAAAAAAGCCACGTAGCTGGTGTCCAACCAATAGACGAAGTAATAGTATAGTAGAAGTAATAGTAGATTTTAACTGACGAACGGATTTTGTGATTAGCAATGATAGAAAGTGAGCAGCGATACGAGCACTTGTTTTATTCGTTTCCAATGTACGATTACTTCTTGATTGTAGTGGCTGTTTTAACAACAATTTCTGCGATTTATTCCTTCTTCAGGTTAACAACAAAGAAAGATATACAAGAATAATTTGTTATAAATTCATTCTGAGATAGAACAATATTGAAAAATAAAAGAATGGCTGGTGAGAGAAAGTCCGATTTCGTTTTCTTCCTGATCATTTACTTTGTTTTTTCCGGTAGAGAATACGAAGTAATGGTTCTAAATTAAACAAAGTTTCCAAGGTAAATACAAAATCGAATTGTTAATTTCTTGTAAATTATAGATGACCTTCTACACTTTCTGGTTACACTTCATTGGCATTTAATTGCATATTGTATGAGGAAAATGTGAAAAATTGTATTTGGATTCATTACAAGACAGGTTTTGCAGCTTACATAAAGTGTCATGCCTTCTCTGAACAGACTCGGATCTCTGACAATAATAGAAAGTTAATAGCGATACGAGCAATTGTTCTATTCGTTTCCGATGTACGACTACTTTTTGATCGCAGTGGGTGTTTCAACAACAATTTCTGCAATTTATTCCTTCTTCAGGTTTATATATTTGCACTTTCTACTTCGATTTTTTCACGATTTCCGTAACGAATACGGAGAATGGGCCGTTATCACCGGCGGAAATGCCGGCATCGGACGGAGTTACGCTTTGCAATTGGCAGAAAAAGGTATGAACGTAATCATCGTCGGCAGAGACCAACAAACTCTGCGAAGTACGGCCGAAGAAATCGAGAGCACTTATGGAAATCGATGCCTTTACATCCGAGCCGACTTGTCGGAAGAGGGTGCCGTACGTGACGTGGCACAGGAATTACAAGGCAAAGACGTAGGATTATTCATCCACAATGCTGGTTTTTTAGGCAATTTACCTTGTCTTTTCTTAGACGAAACGACGGAAAACGTGTTAAAAATAATCACGTTGCAAGTAACTTCTGTGGTGCAGTTAACTCGTTGCGTTCTACCGTGGATGCTAACTAAGGAAAATGGAGCCATGATATTCGTCTCCTCCATCGCTTCCATCTTCCCTGTACCACGTTTAAATGTCTACTCGGCTTCTAAAGCATTTTGCACCTTCTTTTCCAGAAGTGTTTCCGCAGAACGTCTCGGTAAAGGACTGGACATTCAGACGCTTATTCCGTATTACGTGTCCACCAATTTGATCAAATTCAAAAAAATCGACGTGATAATTCCTAGCAGCGATCGTTACGTGAGGGATGCCATTCGAACTTTAGGAATTTCCGATTACACTAGTGGATATTGGTTACACGAGATTTTAAAATTCCTTGTAGAAATTCGTCTCACAATGCTATGGAAATGGTTTACGTTAAAATCGATGCTCAGAATAAAGAAACGTTTGCAAAGTATAATTATGTTTCGTGAGAGAGACAAAACTTTTATTAACTAACATTTCAAATAATTCCAGTGCGAAGACGTTAAGTAAAAGAACTCTTGTAAGCATTTCGTTAATAATACTTTAACTTTTGTATATATATTTGCCAATTTTAAACTTAAGATAGAATAAAAATATAAACTTTAATTCAATTAATAAACTTAGAAATTTCGTTTGAATAATTATTTAAGTAATATAAAATAATTTTGTAATTGTAATAATGTACTGTACAGTATAACGAAGCAATCGCCATCGATTGTTTTGTCCTGTGTCTAACGGGTGCAGGGATGGCTTTTTTTTTTTTCCTTCCGGCTTCGCTTCAATTTTATCGCGACACCACAAAGTCCTAGCAACGTTTTTACTGAGGTCAATCGAGAGGCTTAGATATTATAATGTAGATAACAATTTATTCAGGTCATTTCGCTTTATATTTGGGTCAGTGTAAGTAATCTTGAGGTCAGCCGCGTAAGCAATAATTGTGTAAGTATATCGTACAAGAATTTTATTTATGTAACTTATGAAAAGATTTTCAGCGTAGCGGGATTAGGCAAATCGGGAGGCAGAGTCCATAGATATAATAGTCCTTGCGCTGCCCTCTCAAGTACAGTTAATGCCTCGGGTTGCCGTTAGCTGGCGTGCGAATCGCCGGTATCTATTTGGTTAGTAGGTACAGTAGACCCCCCTATAACACTGTTGATAATTCCGTATAATATGAATTCCGTGTTGTACGAGTCGCTTAGATTTTACGTGTGCCGGGCTGTGAACGGTTCACGTATTTGACTGTTATATTGCTACATATTGTGAATGAAAGTTTTGTACATAATGTTCTAATATATCTGTTTAACACTACATAAAGTGTGCTATACAATTTTACTTGATTTAGTATAGTAAAAAATAGTACTCGGGTGAAATAGTTTTGTATTTTTGACACCAGAAATTATATTTCTTATGACACTCACATTGGCTCTACATAGTTTGGTAATTTATATAATATTTTGCACTATTAAAAGTAGAATATGAATGAAGATTTATTGATGGCCTACTACACCTGTCCTATGTTTATATAGGTTTAAAATATCACTAACATGTTTTTCTTTTAGCCACTAATCACAGTCAATATCTAATAATACTGTCAGAACTCTTGCATCCTACATTTACCTATTCTATTTGTTAACCTCTAATCATTTCTAAGTTATTATGTGTCTGTAAATATGCTGACTATGTTGTCTAAATAGTTGGAATTTCCTCTTTTTCCTCTAATAGCCTATATTTGAAATCCAAGAACTAAATCTACTGACTTTTAATTCCTCTCTCTTAAGCTGTTCATAACTCAACTTTAATCTCCCTCTATCTCATTTATAAACACAATATAAACTGTGAATAATATATATCATAGCTCTTTCCTCACTGCAAACTACAATAATTTACCTAATATTAATTAAATAAATAAAAAAAAAATATGGGCTTAATCTTGATAAACTCCAAAGACACCCTAAATCTCTTCTTTTGTAACACTTTAAATCTATGCTATATTAACACGTGGTTTAACATTTGTGTACATTTCCATAAATAGCTCAGCTGTGTTGTTTTGGTCTGTAGTGTGGCTCCATCTAGCGAGAGAAAATATTTTCCTTTAGACACAACTCTTCTACCATTTGACTAGTCTGTTTTTATTGTAAGCTGTGCTCTGATAGAGATATATATTATATATATATATATATATTAAAACGGAACCGTCACCGCCAACGGAAATCGAAACCACGCTACAAAAAGAGCTATAGAGACTCGACTCTNAGAACGTTTAGACGTTAGGCGCCATCTCTTATCTAAATAAATAATTATAATTTTTAATAATTTATTAAATAATTTAGATAAGAGATGGCGCCTAACGTCTACCTATATTACCAAATTACTTACTATCTAATTACTAATAATAGCCCAATTCACTACGGCGCTCGTTTGATTTTGTATTTTATTTTTGACTGTTGCCAATATACTGTACATTTTCATTGGAATTTTCTTTACATATCTAACACCTAAATCCTTTCTAATTTAGAATAAATCAAAGACTTTCTTGTTTCTAATTCGAATCAAATAAAGTGGATTCGAACGCTGTCCCGCTGTTATATATTAACGGCTCAGAGGCTTGCCATCATTACAATAATCAAAGCCTACAAGACCGCACCGACGCACTCTTGGCAATTGCTAACCTAATCCCAATAGACATTGTCATCAAAGAGAAAGTTTGGACGTTTCATCAGCTTCAGCTGTCCACTGACACTATTACTACCGATCGCATTAACATCGTCATTAGTCAGATTGATGTAAGCCCAGCTGCAACATGCATTTCTGAGCGATTGTCTAAATACAAGCTATACTACAACCCTCGGCATTTTGCCTACCATCCTAGCACCACTATTGATAAACTGTTCACTCTGTAGGGTGCTGAAGCCCCTATCGGCCTCTGTATATATACGGATGGGTCAAAATCTGACGCGGGGGTGGGGTGCTCAGTCGTCGTGGCAAACAACAACAGGTACAGTACATCCACCAGGCTCGGTTTAGGCTGGCTAGCCATTGCACTATTAACCAAGCCAAGTCCCTGGCCATCTACAAGGCTTTACTTTGGATCACGGAAAATAAGGAGGCTTTTAAAATCACTAGGGTTACGATCCTAAGTGAATGCCGTGTTGCTCTGTTGCAACTTAGGAAACTTAATACTAAACTCAATAATTCAAGATAGCGTCGACCTTCTGCTCACACTACGAAACAGTATATTCATCAAGCTTTCCTGGGTGAGGGGGCACTGTGGCGTTCAGGGCAACGACAGAGCTGATCTCTTAGCTCTCTCGGCGCCTGTCTGGACGCGGAGATGTTCCTTCGGTATCACCCCGGTATCATGGCTAAAGGAGAGCATCCGCAGCCACAAATGGAAGTGCTGGCAAGGAAGATGAGACAACAGCTCCACGGGCAGGACTACTTACAGCTTCATTCCCAATGTTCTTCAGAGGAACCTCTGCAAGCATCTCGTCCACACATTCCAGGTTACTCAACTTCTCACCGGGCACGGCAACTTCCGTTGGTTCCTGCGGAAGACTGACGTCAAGTGTCTATGCTTCCTATACAAAGACGAAGACACAGAACATGTCATCTGGCACTGCCCATCGTACAACGAACAGCGAAAGGTACTCATATGCACGATCCAAAAGGAAAATGAACTACGGCCATGCCACAGAAAGACTATGATAGATAACATCAATATCTTCAAAGCCCTGAAGACTTTTGCATTGGATATAAAAATCCTTGACTGAGCATCTTTGTGGACGTACTGTACCTGTGGTACCTCTATGAGGGCCTCTTCCTAAGTGCAAGGATTTAGTGTAGGTAAATCCATCACTGTATAACGTCATTTCGGCGGTCAAACCGAGATCTACTGAATTTAGCGCTGTACAGTAGACCCCCTATAACACGGGTTCCTATAATTACGATTCCTATAAGACGGCGAAAAAATTGCGATGGTATCCGTACAAACCTGGTAAAAAACCTCCTATAATTCGGTAAAACGTCATCGGGCAGCCGAACTACTTTTCGCCGTCCAGCGCCACGCGGCAAATTTA